AGTCGGCTTCCTCTCTGGTCACTGCAGGGGACCAAGGTGCATTCTGTTGCAGCAAATACTTAATAATGTGACAAGTTCGAGCCATTGCAAAGAAGTTAATGATCCCCCATGGCACAAGGAAACATGGTCTTGGGGTGTGGCGGAAGCCAGGTTCCACCAGGGGACAGGAGGTGAGGGGGGTGAGGGTGAGGCTCTGGGCTGAAGCTAGAGACTTTGCAGTTGTCTAAAGCTGATTCCCGAGGACTGGATGAGCCGGATTGAAAGCTTTGCCAAAACCACCCTATGGGCCTGGCCCCTGAGCTGCCTTAATGAGGTAATTTATGAGGAAAATAGGATTACTGTTGACCTGGGAGCAGCAGCCAAAGCTCATGGGTGCGGCAAAGGCTCAAGTGAGAGCCTGAGAGAAAAATGCCTTTGGGTGCGGCAAAGGCTCAAGTGAGAGCCTGAGAGAAAAATGCATTTAGCCCCTGGGTGATTGTCTCTGTAACACCCAGAAATGTCTAATAACCCACCTTCTAGGAAGAGAAATCCAGGAAAGGTGTCACCTGAAAGGCTCTTGTTAACAAGCTCTTGATAAATCCCACTCCATGAAATTCAAAGCAAGCCAAGTTTCTGTTACTCTTGATGGTGGAATGTTCCGGAATGGGTGCCGCTGAGCCTCAAGATTCTGGAAACACATAGATGTCAGTGGGAGCTGGTCCAAGAGCAAGCCCTGAAAAACATTAAGATGAGATGTGTCACAGGGGAGGAGATAGACCTGATTTGGACTGTGACCGAAAGGCAAAGGTCAGAAGACCGAAGGTCACTAAGTAGCTGACCTTCAAGGGAATACTTAACCATGTGCACTGGGCTCCACCTTTTTTATGTGATCGTATTTAATGTTTGCGACAAAGTAGCATTCACATCCTTATTTTACAGATTGAGAAATTTGGGGGCTGAGGGTTAAGCGATTTGCCCAAGGTTATAGCAAACGCAGGAGCTGAAGTGCAAGTCCAGCCAGACTGGTTCCGCAGCCCGCAGGGGTCAAGCCAGGCCCAACGGAGTCCTGCAGGCCGCGTGGGGCTTCTGCTGACGGGCAGCATGGGGCTCCTGGGGGACGGCCAGCGAGCGTGGCCGCGGAGGGGCCTCCCTCACGCTGTCCCTGAACGAACAGCGACCCTGCACAAGTGGCGCCCAGGGGCCCCAGGTTCACCCCAGTGAAGGTGAGATAGCCCCAGGAGGACATGGCCTCCTGTGTCTGCTGGGTTCCCCCAAACACTGCAGGGGGAACGTGCAGTTTGTTCCCTGAGCAGGACAAGTTACGAGGTGAGGACAGAGCAGGAGTGGCCCAAGCCCTGTCACCACAGGACGGCTGGCTGGGGTGGGTGGGAGCGGGAGCCACCCTCTTTTCCCCCCACAGCCCCACCCTCACAGACCTGCAGGCCTGGGAAGAGTTGGGTTCACGCTGGACGTCTCTCCTCCCTGTCAACGTTGACAAAGAAGTAGGGGACTTTTCGAAGACTCTGCCCTCGCTGCACCTCGAATCCTCTCTTCAGGGCCTGACACACTGTCTCAGGTGGCTCTTTGTACAAATCCTTTCTGCCCTCACCCTTTGGCTTGTGGCCACTGCCGCTGTCCACCCCGTCCCCACCTCCCTCAGCTGCTCACTTGAAAAGCCAAGCCTTCCACCCCTCAGAAGTCACCGCTGCAGACTTTGGTCCCTCCACCCATTGGCCTGGCCCAGCTTCGCCACCATCTCTCACCCGAAAGCCGCTGTGGTACCCACAGCTCTCTCACAGCCTCAGCTGCCCAGCGGGTGGCCTCGGCCCCCCTCCCCAGCTGGAACCATCCTGCCACCCCATGCACACACCAGCCTGGGGCCCGCAGCACACACCTGACACACTCACAGGCGACTGTTTATGAGCCTGTGTTTCAAGTTAAGGAAATCTAGTTGTAGCAATTAGCTCAAGCACCGAGAGGACTTTGTCTAAGAATATGAGGTCTCCCTGGGAACCCATGATCTTTCCTCAGACACACGAGGGAGTGAAAACTCTTCCATTACACTTTCTCAGAAAGCTCCTAATCCCAAACTTGAGGCAGCTGCTTGGACCCCAGGTGCTCTGAGAGAAAGGCAACCGGGTCTCTCAACGGCCGATGGCCCACTGGATGTACCATCTTTGCGCATGAAGTGGGCTAAGCAGAAAGGCTTGACCTGGACCTTCGGCACTGAGGTCAGATAAATTGGTAGATGGCTGTCATGGGAGGGAACATGCCAAGAGAGAGCCATGGGGCAAATCACACCTGACAAGTGTGAACGAGGCCAACAGTTTCTCAAGAGAAGGTCCAGCTGAACTGTAGGCGCTGCTCTTGGTTTTGCCTTTCAGAATCCATTCAGCCTTCTCTTGTTTTCTTCTTGAAAGCCATCCTGATCCACAGCAACCAGGCATGTGCTCCAGGTGGCATTTACTCTGTCCTGTGGCTGCCCTGCATGGGGTGTGCGCACAGTTGGAGCACTGCAACCCCCTACCCATGGCCTTGGGTTAGTGATGGGTATGGAGCCCCGTAGAGCCACGAGATGCAATGAGACCCCTGCTAGGATCCGATTTGATTTGGGTTTTCTATCATTTGCAACCAAAATACCAATCCACAAGCTTACACTTTTATCTCAGGTCCCAGACTGGCTCTTTTTCTAGAATGACTTGACATAATATTTGCTAATTTTTTACCCTATACTAACAATGATTGTTAAATTCCAAGAGCATTAAAAATAACTTAAACATCAAGTCTAATGCTAACAATCTCAACATATTTTCCACGACAGAATTATATTTGTCTAAAATGTGGCAAAAACAATCTAAGAGAGGCCCAGGGGATCGATTTAAAAGCCACTTGTCTCTAAGAGGCTTCACTCAAATGAATACCTGATTTCATATATTCATGATCTGTTGGTCCAGGAAACCAACCGTAGCCACAGAGGGCGAGGTTTTCTACATCTTTGTTGAGCCCTGACCTATTTCACCAGAAACTGGAGTTGTAGTAGGATTGTAGGTTTGAATTTGCATAATTATTTACTGCCAATTTTGATATGTGCAGCTTGGGAAAACTGCCTCAAGTGGATTGTGGCCCTTGATTTATGACTTCACGGTCTAAATAATCCCCATACTCATGCTTAATTGAATTTCAGTTATAAAACAAAGGTTGGCCAGCTCACAGGCCCAGTCTGGCCCACTGCCAGTTTGTGCGAATAGAGTTTTACGAGAACATATCCCCGAGCACTCGTCCACATGATCTCCAGAGCTGCTTTTTGTGTCACACAGTTGAGAAGCTGTGACAGGATCACAAAGCCTAAAATAATTTATTACCTGGCCCTTTGGAGAAAAAGTTTGCTGACTCCTGTTCTTGAACGCCAGTCTAAAAACTCACGTTTAAAAAAACAACACTCAACTTAAAAAGTCTTCAGCATATCATTTTTCATTTTTCACTGCACAATATAGGTAGGATTTTAAATAAATAAAGTATAACTAAGTCTTTTTTTTTAACCCAATTTTCTCTTCTTTAGTTGCCACCAGTCTTTGCTTTTCTGCTCCAGAGCTCAGGGTAGTACAAGCTTTTGTCTGGGTTCCCTCTCGGGGTGTGCCGGCATGACTCCACGTAGCGGGAATGACAGGCAACTCGCCACTGATCATCTCGTTTCTCTTCTCTTGTGTAATTTACTGCTTCTGCTAACCCTTCAGCTTGTCTCTGTGTCTCCGTGTCCAAGTCCTTCTGTTGGGCAAGCCCGGACCAAGGAAGAAGATGCAGGTGGCGTCCCAGGATCCAGGGCTAGACACCTGGATGGGATAAAAGTGACCAGAGGGCTGCAGAGGAGTGTGGAACCAAG